AGAACTACACTCACCCGGACGATCACGCTATACGAACTACTAAGAATGGTCAATTGGACCGATCTATGGCGAAAGAGAAAGTTTTGGAGAAAATTTGTGCTTTTCTTTAAAGGCCGTTCATTGACAATTTAAAAATATAGCCGCTATGTTTGAATATTGGTATATTTATTAATTCTATAGTAAGCACTTGGTCTATGACTGGAGCTCTGAGAGAGCTCCCTGTTGACCATTTCCAGAGAAGTCGAGGTTCATTTTAGTTTTTCCACTTGATGGTCAGAAGCAATCGGTTCACCATGGACTTGTGTCGGTGTCGATGGCCACACAGTTTGATATGGCATAGCTGGGGACAAAGGAAAAATAACATTACAAAATGCATCATTATTTCAATGTAATTTGACTTATCGCTTTAACGTAAGCATAATGCAGTCTCGACCCGTCTAAATACCGGTTCATGAAATAATATACAGTATCCAAAGATCTTACAATTATCGTCAATATTTCAAAACCTGTAGCGCAACGTCGTTTCCAGGGCGAGATAACTCGACGGAAGAGCAAGCGAAGTGTGATTACTGGACTTAAGAGACTGGGACCTAGTGTTTGCTGATAGGTTCCCTGCTAGGTTCCCAGGTTTCCTCCGAGCAGATAGAGCGTTCCGGTTGAAAATTCTGTAGCGATTGGTTTAAAATAAGCTCGCGAAATTCTTTGTCAACCAACCAGAAGATAAAACCAAAACCAATCGCGACTCGCTGACAGGTTTTTCCGCGCTTAGCGTAAGCTTTATATATTTGCGTCGAGTTTTGATTGGTTCATTGGGTTGCCTGTGTTCTTTGTGATTGGCTACAGAGTGATTAAGTTGACTTTCTTTGCTAACCTGAGCTTTTCCTTTGCAATAGAGGCAGACGAGTAGTCAGGAAGGAACAGCGTACTAGCGCACATGGAGGCATGAGGCAGGCTGTCCTTGTCTCCGCCGGCTTTGGCCACAGTAAATGGAGCAGGCGGCCTCTTACGTCCCGTCACAAAACAATTTGAAATCATTTGTCAGTTGTCAATTAGGGTGTTGAGATCAAAGCATGATTTGTCAGTTAAAATTTGCAATCATCTGTCATTTGTCAGTATGGATGTTGTCAGAGATTGAAGCATGATTTGTAAGTTAAAATTTGGAATCATCTGTCAGTCGTCAGGAAGGATTTTGAGATCAAAACGTGATTTTGCAGCTAAAATATTTTGGAATCATCGGTTTATTCTGTTAGTGGTCGGTAACTGATGTTGCAATGGAAACATGCCTTGTCAGACAACACCTGGAATCATCTGTTAGTTGTTAGTGGGGATGCTTTGATGAAAGCATGATTTGTCAGCACAAATTTGGAATCATCACTGAGTTTATTGTGTCAGTGGTCAGTGAGGATGTTGCAATGAGACATGACTTGCCAGATAACACTTGGAATCATCTGTTAGTTGTTAGTGAGGATGCTTTGATCAAAGCACTATTTTTCAATAAAAATTTGGAGCCATCTGTCAGTTGTCAATAATTTTCTCCTTACAATTTCAGTACTTTATCAAGAATACAAGTGATGAGAACAAAGAAAATCAGCAACTGGGAAAAATTATTGTCCAGTAAGCAAATTTTCAAAACTCACACCCCCCCAAATATCACAATGACTGGGGAGAATTCACAATTGTTTTGAGCGTCGATACTTCAAGCCCTATTCAGTTTATGAAGGTCAACATTTTTTAACCTCAGGATGAACTAGAAATTTTTAAAAATTGACTACATCTACAAATTAATTGCTTGTAGTAAGATGAAGAAGCACATCTTTCAGTTGATAAATCCTTGCAAAAAAAAAATGGAAAGAACTTCAAATGCTTTTGTCTAATCAAAAAAGGATGGATGTTCTCAAATAATTTTGACACCAGCAAGAGTCATTCAACAAATTTCTCAAGACTGAATTCCATCCTCTAATGGTAAGCTGTACTTGTTCTTCAAAGTGATTAAAACTATAGTGATTCACAAGTCCAACAGCTATGGATAAAGAACAACTTTGACTGACCTGCCATGTCTGAAGTGTTTTACAGTTCCTCCACTGATTGTTTGGTATCTATGTGTTTCTTGTTTGCCCTGACAAGAGATATAGACATATTATTGAGTTACCAGCACAATTTCTAACTGTTGGTATACTTAAGCATTTAAACTTTATCTGATAGAATAAGAACTAATAAGAGTAGCAATACATACAAGTGTAGTTACACTTGTGCTTATGAGAGGTGGTTGCTTACAAGAGGTTCCAAATATAGGGATTTGACTTGAAAATTTTGATATTTTTGAAAACTGGTTGCTGAGGAGAGGTGGTGGCTTATCACAGGTGGTTGCAACCTAAGGTTTGACTGTGTCAATTATCACAAGTAACTGTCAACTTTTACAATTTGTTAGCGAAAAGGACTTTGAGCACGATACTCCATGCAGTTTGCCAAGTAGAAATGTCTCGGAAGAGTTTCTTGGTCAGGACGAAACGAAAGTGCTGTGTCGGACTGGCCACGAACAATGTATTGTAACTTTGAAAACAGAATTGCAGCTTTATTTACACTCTTTCAGCAACCCATAATGCATTGCATTCTTCAGGTAAATAAGCTCAGCATTCAAATTATCTCCTCAACACATCAAGATAATCAAGATAACTAAGATAATGAATGAGGCCTTAAACTACTTTATTATATAGACACAAGTGTTTTACTGGAAAATACAACACTTGTAAAATTCATACCAAACCACATCCAGCACTTGGGTGACATATTTTCCATATCATAACTAGTGAAGATATCAATGATTTCACTGATATCAAGTTTGTCTCTTAAATTATACTTAAATTTGTTGGTGTATGGTCGAAACATTTTGCGGTCTTCCTCGAAAGTCTTCAGCAATCTTCGATAATCCTAGGAAATCTTAAGTAATGTTCAGAGATTTTTGAAAACTGTTCGACCATATTCGTGTGACCTTCAGACAAGTTTTAAAGAATTTTCGGAAATCTTCGGAAAGTGGTCGGAAATCTTCGGAAAATCATCAGAAACGCTGTCATCAATATGTCTATATAATAAAAGGAACATTACAAAGTAGCTCGACGATATGAATTTTATGTTCTCATGGCAAGAACAATATTTCACTTGTTTGCTATGTTCACTCCTGAGATATTGTTCTTGTCACTTGAACGTAAATTCATATCTTCTTGCCACTGTGTAATATTGTCTATGTATTTAGTCAAGCCAGTTTTCCAAGCTTTTGCCGATCCATGGTACCATCGACTTGACTTTACTAAATGTAGTGGTTTAACACCCCACTTGAAAGGACACTAGATTATCCAATATGCTACTGATGGACGATATTCAATGCTTACATCAAGATAAGTTTTAGCACTTGTAATACAGGAGTGCTAACATCTCTATACACCAAGATAATGGTGTCATGTTCAATAACA